TAAGTTGGAAAGAGGCATGGGTATGGGCTTCCATTTCATGGAAAAATTAAAATCACACAAGAAGTAGTAGGGGAAAAGCTACAGTAGACATAAAACATCTAGTGATAGCTTCAGCAAGGAAGGCTCATGAATCTCCCAAGTTCCTAGATATGAAGAAAGTAGCCTATGGAGTGCCCCTATTTTGGCACTCCATAGACCAGTCCAATTTTGTATTGCCTTTGGAATAACCAAATCCTAGTCCTTTGCGGATGCAAGTCTTTTGTGGACTAGGATCTATCTGGTCATTCCAAAGGCAATAGAAAATATGTTTAAAACCTATGAGATAATGTGCACTGCATGCTTATTCAGAGGAGATGAGAAAGCAGCAGTTAATGGACTTTCTGGGAATCTCTACCTAATGGTATAGAATCTCCTTTTCCTTTAACATAAGTAATTTTTGATAGATTAAGGAATTCAAAAAATGACATTCCTCTAACAAAAAGTTATATAACTGGATTACAACAGTTTTGCCAGCCAGGCACAGTAGCTCATGCCTATAACCCCAGCACTTTAGGAGGCTGAAGTGAGGTAACCCCAGCAGTTTAGGAGGCTGAAGTGAGAGGATCACTTGAAGCCAAGAGTTCAAGACCACCTTAGGCAACATAGTGCAACACTGTCCCTACAAAAAAATTAAAAAATTTGCTGGGTATGGTGGAGCATGCCTGTAGTCCCAGCTACTTGGGAGGCTGAGATAGGAGGGTCACTTGAGCCCAGGAGTTTGAGGCTGCAGTGAGCTATGATTGTGTCATTGCACTCCAGGTTAGGCAATGGTGTGAGACCCTATCTCTAAAAACAAACAAACAAACAGTTTTGCCAAACAGAAAAATATTGCTTAAGAACTTTAAATATACGAGACACAGTATCTCTTAAAAATCTCTAATAGAGTTGTGTTTTTCTATCATATAATTCTTATATTATAACATTTGCTTATCAAAACACATATTGGCTATTAATATATTGCAATATTTATATTGTATACTATCAAACCTGGTTTCTGCTCCCACTCCCACCCCAATAAATTAATTTCTTTGCAATTGCCTCTCCAATCAAGCAAACATATCAGAGAGATTCAGCCAAGAATTTATACATCAAAAATTCCTAACTATACGAATTTTTGAAGAGAAATTCTCTCTCTAAAAACTAGCTTACTTAGAGACAACCCCTATTTACACTGGAAATGCAATGGGTTATTAGAAATTCCATATTACCAATCATCAATTAATATACCCTCTCCTTGTAATAAATAAAGTGACTGGAAATTGCTTTTTTTTTTTTTTGAGACGGAGTTTCACTCTTGCTACCCAGGCTGGAGTGCAATGGCGCGATCTCGGCTCACCGCAACCTCCGCCTCCTGGGTTCAGGCGATTCTCCTGCCTCAGCTTCCTGAGTAGCTGGGATTACAGGCACGCGCCACCATGCCCAGCTAATTTTTGTATTTTTAGTAGAGACGGGGTTTCACCATGTTGACCAGGATGGTCTCGATCTCTTGACCTCGTGATCCACCCGCCTCGGCCTCCCAAAGTGCTGGGATTACAGGCGTGAGCCACTGCTCCCGGCCGGAAATTGCTTTTTTAGAGCTTTCAATACTATAATTATTCTATAAATACACTTAAAATGGGTTAATATATAATATTAAAGATTCATTTGCCCTATCTTCTTAAAGTATGTTAAAAATATATATATATAAGGCATCAGAGAAATTTGATAATAGTCGTTTTCCACAGTGATGATTTTAGCACTTGTGGCCCATTTGCAAAGTTGAGAAGAAATCACTAATAGATTATAGTTAAGCTTCCTATCGAAAGATAAGAATGAATTACATAGCTATATATTTTAATCTATTTTAGTTTGTATTTTTCTACCTAATTTTACCTGCAAAATTATGGCCGTGTGTTCATCGATTGTCACCACTATGTAACGCTCTGAACTTCCAAAGAGTTTCAATGACTCACTGCAGCCTCTCTCTACCAGTGTGATATTATAGCTGTAAAATACAATATTCTTGAGTGAAAAAGTGAAATGCTAATAAAAATTATTTAAGAAAAATTGTAGTGTCCTCCTGCATGTTATTTGGATTTCTGTGTTTCTTCTTTTATATGCCAATTTGTTCTGCTTTATAAAATATGAAGAATGAAAAAAAAGAACGAAAAAAAAAGGAAAAAAAGAAAAAAAGAAAAAAGAAAGAAAAGAAAAAGAAAAAAAAGAAAAAAGAAAAAAAGAAAAAGAAAAAAAATATGAAGAATGAAGTTATAATTTATTCAGTGTATAAAACAAATCAGCTGAGATGTGTGTTGCCTTAGGCATTGTGCTAAATATTACCGCACATAACACTATTACAAATGTTTTAGCCAATTTATTCCAGCTCTTTAATAATTCATGAAATCAAAACATTATGGGACTAAAATATTCTGCATTTATCAGAATTTCCTTTTTTATTTCTTAAAAATGGCTTACATTTTAACCACTTTTTATTTTATTACTGTATATTGTTATTATTTTTAGAGACAGCTCTGTTGCCCAGGCTGGAGTGCAGTGGTGTTATCATTGCTCACTGCAGCCTTGAATTCCTGGGCTCAATCAAACCTCCCACCATGGCTTCCCAAGTGGCTGATACTACAGGCACATACCATTATGCCTTTAACTACCTTTTATAAGCTCATAGTTTTCTATGAATGCTCCACAGCCTTACTATATAAAACTAAAAGCATGGAACATACATCTGCATTTTAACTAAGGTAACAGCACAATTATCCTTCCTTAATATGCAGCCCAAGGTCCAACATTCCTGTGACAATTTGTGTGTTATGATAAAGTATTTTACAATTTTATAAGGTCCAATGTTAGCATGACCTTAGATCTAAAGACCTAAAACCTTGAGAATTCATTTAGAACTTCATAGTCCTGTTTTCCAGGCAGTAAATTTCCCAAAACAAGAATACTCTTTCTCAATATTATCAATGAGCCAAAGACATGAACACATAATTCACAGAAAAAAGCATATAAAATGTTCATATTTGCTGGTAACAAAAGAAATGCAAGTAAAACATGAATTTAAATAATAATTAAACATTATTTTTGTCTGTAAAATTGGTAAATATTACCAAAAAAATATAATATTCAATAATTATGAGGGTGTGGTATAGGGAAAGAAGTATAAATTGATATAAACTCTCTGGAAAACTATTCTTTTGTGATATAATTCCAGGCTTGAATCACAGAAACATGTAGTCACATACACAGCATAATATTTAGCCTATCAGAATATATATATATACTTTTGTTAAAGTTGTGAAATCAATAACTTACTTGGATTCTAGCAGCTGAAGTATGTCTGGAGTATTAAGAAGTCCTTCAGATGCAAAAAACACATATGGAATCTGAATTTCCACAAGAAAACCTCCAAATCTATCTAGCAATGTGCTTCCTAAATAAGAGAAAATTTATAAACATTTCACTTTTATTCTCATTTCCCAGCTCTTTCTTTTTTACTAAACATGAGGATAGTAGGAGTAGTATAAAAATAATATTCAGTGTAAAAAATCAGAAACAGAATAAAGACAGGCTTGAAGAAGAGGAAAGTAAAAACCATGCTGTCCTACTTAGAAATAAGTTAATAGAGTTTACTAATACCACCATACACTAAAAACAGAGTTTTGCATATATTTCCAGACTTTTTTCAATTTTTTTTTTTTTGCTTATACTCACACATGTACACTCACTTAAAAAAAGAAAAGAAGGCCGGGCGCGGTGGCTCACGCCTGTAATCCCAGCACTTTGGGAGGCCGAGGCGGGTGGATCACGAGGTCAAGAGATCGAGACCATCCTGGTCAACATGGTGAAACCCCGC